GATGCTATCAAGGGAAAGGATGAGAATGGCAATGATGTCTATCTTATTCCATGTCCTGCTGGTACGACAAATGTCAAACTTCAAGCCAACTGGCACTATGCTAGTGAAGATGAAGATTTGCCTGATCTTGCTACTGAAGCAGATCGAGGTCTGCAGTTTATTCAAAGCCGCAGAAAGGAAAGAGATCCATTTGGGTTGTACGATCATGTCATCATGGACAGTGGTTGTACAAACACCACCATTTGTAATGGTGAGCTCATGCATGGACTCCGTCATGCTGAGAAAGAACTTGACATGCACACTAACGTGGGCAGCAGAGTTCTCGACGAAGAAGGTTTTCTAGGAAGATTTCCACCTCCAGTTTATCACGATGAAGATGGAATTGCCAATGTACTTGCAATGCGCGAGATGATTGCTGCGGGATACCGCATTACTATGGATTTTTATGCTTACAATGCTTTTATTGTGCATTGTGATGGAAACAGAAAGATGCAATTTGTGAATCGTAAGGCTGTGTATGTGTTGGAGCAACTTGGAGCAAATGTCAAACCAGGTGCCAAAGCGACAAGTGCAATGTACCGTCGCCAGTTAAGCAACTTAAATAATCAACCCCATTTCGAACTTTCTTCAAACAAACAGAATGGATATGCTGGACTTGAGATGGCCTCCAAGATGGCAACCGTTCGAAAGAACAAGGAAGGATTCACTCCAAGACAAGTCAAGGCTGCGATGGAAGCGAGAAGTGCAATGCACATACTCAATGCTCCAACCACCCACCGAAAGTCTGAAGTATGCGATCCGATCTGGTCTCATCAAGAACTGTCCTATCACCAAAGAAGCGATCAATCATGCCAAAGCAATCTTTGGACCCTGACGCCTCTACATTGAAAGGCAAGTCAACAAGACCAACTCCAAAGAAGACGTACGACAACTTCTTCAGTCCACCAGAGGAATTATATCAGCACAATCGATCTATTACCGTCTGTATTGGCCACATGGAGATCAAGAATGCGAAGTTTCTCATCTGCAATAATAATAACTGAGACATTAATCGTTAGGATGCTACTCTATGGGCATTCGATTGCCGGTGAAATATTTGGCTGTAAAGGTCAAGTACTGTGGAGCGGTGAGTCAACAACAAGTTTGAATCATGGGAGGCGTCTGTACCTAACCAGAAGTTGCTCAAGTCATGTCGTTAAGAATGACTTCTCCCGCAGCGAGGCGGGGTGAATTTGGGGCGCTTATTGTCCCACAAAAGTTGGGAAGCGTTCAGGAGGGGGGAGCAGAGAAGATAGTCCGGAGGCTACATTGTTGAGCCCGCAGAGAGCGACAATAGTCCTTGCGCTCCTGTCAAAGTAGCTTCAGCCATTCTTCCTTGTCCACCAGTGACTTACGGAGGATGCTGTGACGGCATGTCAGCATGCGTCTAATATCCGGAGGTAAATCAGCTGAACCCATATCAAACTGAGAGTGAATCCCCTCGTTGACAAGACAGTGACGTTCACGGAGCTGAACATTGTCATCCGAATGTTGAACGGTGTTCCGTTGTTCCCACATATAGAACCCAATGGAGATGAGTTGCTGGGAGAGATGGGAGGCCCACAGAGAAACCGACCGACGACTGTAAATCTCGTCAAAATAATTTTGTTGCAGCCACAAGGAGGCCAGTCTGCCTTCCAAAAGTCCCTGACACCCAATAGCTTCCTGTGCCAGAAAGGCCGGGCAAATGGTCCGAGAGATCAGACGAGAGGGGGGACGTGATGAGTCGCAAACACCCTGAAGCAGAAGGAGTATCGCATGTTTGATGGCGGGGGAGGTAAGATGTATATCCATCCAGAGCGAGAGCGTGGTCGCCCTCCGGTCCCATTCGTCCCTAGCCAAGGCTGCTGGGCAACGGGGAACATGCAAGTGATCTTCAAACTCACCGCACCAAGGGCACACAGCGGACGATGCGAGGCCCCAATACACTTTGAACTTCCCTGTGCCGCACATGCCCACCCAATGTTTTGTAATCCAGCGCTGGAGTCCGGCAGGTAGTGACCGCATAGCGCGGCCCAGTGTCTCCCAGTCAGTAAGGTTTTCAGACTCCTCAGAGATCACATTACGGTTCCTCCAGTGTTGCCACAGGCGGGGGAGTGTCACGCACTCCTGAATGAAGTGGTCACTCAGCCGAGACTGTTTTGTGTCAGCCACAAAAAGAGCTGCCAGTTCCGTGAAGAACCGAGGATTGGGGGGGATAAGTTGGTGGGCGGCCTCTAGTTCCTTGCGGAAATCCACTGCCATGCCATCTACCTCCAGGTTTTTCTTTTCCCACCAAGTGAGTTCATCAAATAAGTTGGACTTGTCCAGATGTCCGTAGACATGCCATGGAGACCAAGACACCGGAGACCGAGAGATAGCTTCCCGGATGGAAGAGATCAGGTCAAATTGTGCATCAGTGGGTGAAAGGGGTCGATCTTCAAAGGCCATTTCAATGGCCAAAAGGCCGTCGCAGGCGATCTTGACACCCGGCCGCTGGCTATGGGCTGGGAACCATTGTTGGAGGAGCCAGTCAGCCGCCATAATCCCAGCCAGAAGGCCAATCAACTCGCTACGATAGGCACTCTGATCCTGAGGTAGGCCTGGAGTTTGACAACGGATGACAATGCAAGCAGTTCCCCCTTTGGGCAGGAGCTGAACAGCAGCAGTTCCTAGGTCATTTTTGTATGACCCGTCGCTGATGATTCTGAGGCGGCCCTGGATCAGGGCATTGGCCAAGGCAGCCTCATCACCCTGTACCTCAATCTCATCAGGAACCCACCTATAGTAGTCTGTGCAGAGGTCGGCAGAGGCTTGCCAGGCGTTGAGGATGGAGGGGGTCGGGGCAGAGGGAGGCAAGGTTGGGAGACCTGTACCAGTGAGAAGCACCCAGTCGCTACCGGAGAGGGGCCTCACTGTGGCACACAGGACGTCAGAAGGCAAAGGGCAAGTCCACCAAGAACTTGTTCGTTGTAGGCTATCCGTCCCACTGTGATTGCCAGATGGAGCATAGCGCCGAGAAGTTGTAGAGGAACCTACAAGAGCAAGATAGGTCCATGCAGCGCCCTCCCGATGAAACAACCCAACAGTCGGCGACCAGAGCCAGTTCCAAGACTCAAAGTGGTCGTGCCAATGTCCCAGGGGTTGGAGCAGAGGGTGGTGCTGACCATGTGAAGGCAAGAGCGCGCGGGACAGTGTTCTTTGCCAGAGTTCCCAATATGGACGCCCAGGTCGTACCGTTCAAGGCCAATTATATGGAGTCCGATAAGTGTCGTCGCGGAAACCGTTCCAGATGCATTGCCAGATATAGCGGCCATCAACCGTAGTGATATCTGATACTGTGGCTACTTGCAGGAACATCCGGCACCAGTTAAGCCAGAGAAGGTCGTCCTGATCAACCTCAAGATCAATGAACAAGTCAATCAGGAGGGCGTCATGATGACACCT